AGAGAGAGAGAGAGAGAGAGAGAGAGAGAGAGAGAGAGAGAGAGAGAGAGAGAGAGAGTCTGCGAGTCTGCGAGTCTGCTTGTCTGCTTGCTGCTGGAAGAAAGCAAGAGTACCTTCCAGGACTTCCATTGCAAGTGTGGGGAGAGAGAAAAAGAGACACCTGGGGTGTTGGGTCCAGTTCAGGGGGAAAGGGAGTGAGCGTCACTTTCCACAGGACTTAGAGACTTTGTAGTCTGCTGTGAGAGAGCAACACTGGTGATCCTAATAAAGAGAACGTTTTGTTAAATACAAAGAGCTTGTCGTATTTGAGAATTGGGCCAGAACATGAACCCAAATTTTTATTCCTCCAGAGGATCATAAATACAGTTAAAAAAATAAAAATTAAAAATAAAGGAGTTCCAGCAGATTTTATTTTGCTAATTGTTGCTGACTCTAGAGGGCAGTGTGTTTCAAGGCGGTTGAGCCAATGCTGACCAAAGACATGTCCACGATTATGTGGCCAGCATGGTGTCACAGAGCGCTGTTACTTTTCCACTGAAGCAGTACCTATTTATCTATTCACATGTACATGCTTTGCAATTCCTAGGTTGGGAGGAGCTGAGACGAGGACAGGAGTTCATCCTATCGTGTGGCACTCGGATCTCGAACCAGGCTGCTGGCATTCCAGCTGAGACTCCAGACCACTTCAGATATATAGTAAAATGAGAGAAATCCCTCATCTCTTCCCAGTGTCTGTTATTCAAGTTAAAGGTAAAGGTAAAGGTTTCCCTTGCACATATGTGCTAGTCATTCCTGACTCTAGAGGGCAGTGCGCATCTCTGTTTCAAAACCAAAGAGTCAGCGCTGTCCGAAGATATCTCCATGGTCATGTGGATGGCATAATTAAACACCGAAGGTGTATGGAACACTGCTCCCTTCCCACCACAGGTGGTCCCTATTTTTCTACTTGCATTTTTACATGCTTTCAAACTGCTAGGTTGGAAGAAGCTGGGACAAGAAATGGGAGATCACTCCGTTATGTGGCACGAGGGATTTGAACTGCCAAACTGCCAACCTTTCTGATCAACAAGCTCAGCGTCTTAGCCACTGAGCCACCACGTCCTAGTTGCTATTCAAGTTACATACAGGTAATTCTCAACTTCAACCATTCTTTAGCGATCATTCCAAGTCACAACTGCATTGAAACATGGACTTGCAGCCAGTTCTCATATTTATGACTGGTGCAATAGAGGTAATCCTCGATTTACAACAGTTCATTTGGTGACCATTCGAAGTTACAATGGCACTGAAAAAAGGGACTTATGACCATTTCTCACACTTAAGACCGCTGCAGCATCCCCAAGGTTATGTGATCTGCATATGGATGTTTGACAACTAACTTACATTTATGACGGTTGCAGGGTTCCAGGGTCAAGTAACTCCCCCTTTTGCAAACTTTTGACAAGCAAAGTCCAGGGGGAAGCCAGATTCACATAACAAGCTTGTTACTAATTTAACAACTGCAGTGATTCACTTAACAGACGTGTCAAAAAAGTCATAAAATGGGGCAAAATTTCTCACTTCACAATGTAAATTTGAGGCTCAATTGTAATCATAAGTTGAAGGCTACCTATATCACATGATCAAAAATCAGATGCTCAGCAACTGGAATGTATTTATGCTGGGTGCAGCATCCTGGGGTCACATGATCCCCATAGACAATCTTCCCTGACAGTTTCCAACAAGCAAAGTCAATGGGGGGAAGCCAGACTCACTTAATGACTGCATGATTCACTACAGTGAAGTGCTTAACAACTGTGGCAAACAGAGACTCATAATCAGGCACGATTCACTTAACAATTGCCCTGTCTAACAGCAGAAATTTGATCCCAATTATAGTTGTAATTACAAGACTACTTGAAATCATTATTTTTCAATTGTATTATCCTGGCAAAGAGATTTTAATACCAACTGGTTGATAACCGGGCGTTGCCTGGGTATTTATTTATAGGGGGAAAATGTCCAGACCAAACGTAATTTCTAATGTTGGATTTTCCCCCTTACCAGAGGGGGCCCCCTTGTGCAGTACTGTGAAGCTGTTACCGTGGCAACTTCTCTGCGTTGTACAGAGAAAGCCATTTTACGGCAGTGCAGTAGAAGTCATTTTAAGGCACAACAGGCTTTATCTTAGCAGAACACTCACCCTGAGAGGTGTTAGGGGTGTCTTACCTCACAGTGTTTTTTTCCACAGAGTAAGTCATTTGTGTGCCAAATTGAAATTGCTTGAGGTGTTCCAGAATTATGCTGGAACATACACACATGCAGTTATACGTGTGTGTGTGTGTGTGTGTGTGTGTGTGTGTGTGTGTAGAAATAAAATAGAAAATAGAGTAGAATAGAACCGAACAGAACAGACAGACAGATTAACCTGTTTCATCCCTTCAGATGCCTCCTAAAGTTAAAAACTACTAATAGAAAATTTGGTTGGTACATGACAACAAAAAAGGAAGCCGATACAGAACCACATGAAAAATAGAAAGAAATTTTCCCCAATTGTTTAATTATACTTTATAGGGGTAATCTCCCCCTTCCCCCCGCAAGTTAGGATAATGGTTTCCTACCAGGGTACAAAGGTCACTGTCCTCAACACTTAATGTCTCCAGTTCAGCCAGGGGGATAGTGGGAATCTCCGTGTAATCTGTCACGAAATCTTCCTGCTTTCTATCCCACGGAAGTTTATCCCAATTCCCGAAGGATTCCTTTCTAGCAAAGTTCTCCGAGATCTCTTTCATATGTTCAGAATCACAGGACCTTTCAATGGCAGTTGTCTCATTCTTTTTCTTTGGGCCTGTTATCCTCAGCTTCTTCAGGAAGACATGGCAACACCAATCCCACAGAAAAAGTCTAACAAATCGCAGCCCCGTCTGAATCAGTGCTAAAGACTTTCCAGGCTCAGGTTTGTGGTCATCAGCTTCTATTTCGGAATCGCTGCTACTGAAGGAACTCAGCAGCAGAGCGATAAAGAGGTTGAGGACCTGAGTGGGAAGAAAAGCAATATTTTTTAAAATATAAAGAATAAGAGACAAGTACCGTATTTTTTGGAGTATAAGATGCTCCGAAGTATAAGATGCACCTAGCTTTTGGGGAGGAAAACAAGAAAAAAAATCTACCTCTGCCTCTCTGCAATTTGCCTCCTTGAACAAACAGCAAACAGCCTGTTTCAGTTTCAGTTTAGCCTGATTAGCACAAGGGTAAAAAATGCTGCCTCTGCCTCCCACCAACTTGCCTCCTTGCAGCAAACATCATGTTTCAATTTCAATTTCAGCACAGCCTGATTAACACAAGCAGCTATTCCTTGGGAAGGTTGTTGAGAAGGTGGTGGCCTTCCAGCTCCAGCGGTCCTTGGAGGAAGCAAACTATCTCGACCCCT